CATAAAGAGCTCATAAGAGGACGGAGTTGGGATCTCCAGTTATTCCTCCGATGATCAAGTCAACAATTGATCTTGAGTGGGAAATATAGGGATAGAGTAATTCAAAGCTGTGTGAAAAACCCAGAGAGTTTACCCTATGTAATGCCTCTTACTTTTATAGTAGATTGGAAGGGCAAAGATGTAACTTGGGTCGGGTCCAACTAGGCAGCTGAGCCGACAATCGTCTTCCAGGTGTCGGTCATGGAAGAGGGTGAATTATTTGGTCATTTAATGAAGGAATGACAGCAGGTGCTTGGCGCTGATTGGGTCCAATGGGTCATAAAAACTATGGGGATTTGTTAGAGCAGTTAATGCAAGGGCAATCAGCTAGTGAGGTCGAGATAACTGTCGTTCCTCTATTCGTTTGGTCAAGGGCTAACTAGTATCATTTTTTGACTCGGCTACGTGAGTTCTCGATTGAACAGTAGGTCAAGTACGAGTCGATTTGGTATGTTGGCCGATAAGTACCGCATTTTGATTCGGCTATGCTAGTTGTCGGCTGATCGAGTCAGTTGCAAAAATGACTTGAGTCATCTAGGTTAGGGATTTGTTTGATTATGTGCACGGACACGTGTCAGCGTCTTAGTGGAGATTAATACTTAGTGATTTTTGGGTCGTAACAATGCGAAAGAATGGGGGAAATATTTTTAAAAAATGAAAAACTTAGGCCCCGTTTGGTACGCGGGAATGGGGTGGAATGGAATGTCATTCTCACTTCTCATTCTCTCATACCAAACAAAACTAGTTTTGGAATGGTCATTCCCACTTTTTGTGAGAATGGACATTCCAAGTGAGAAGATAGGAAATGATCATTCCCATTCAAGGGGAGAATCAAATTAGTTAGGTTTTTTTCAATTATACCCCTATTAATAATAAGAATCAATTTAAAAATCATGGCTTTTGACTACGTATTCTCATTTTCTCTCTGTTTTTTAAGGCTCCATCAAAACAAATTGCTTCATATGTGACATTATATCTAACTAATAAGAATGTTTGGGTGAGGCGATATGCAAGTGGGCAATTTTAGATTGGCAATTTAGGCTAGTATATCATTTTGCTATTTTGAAACTTATTATTTTAGTTTGTATTGTTTTATGGATTTTTTATTATGATATGGGACATTATTGGTACTTTATCAAATGAGTTAATTTATATATCTAGAACTGTGGATTGTGGATATCATTCTTTATATTTTTGGGACCTACGAAAGATGCGATAATCTTTTATTTATTTTTATTTAATTTTTTAAGACTAAGAAATAGTGAGAATTGTTTAAAAAATATAAACGAAACATACACCTGATCGATAACATGCACATTAGTATAACATATACCTAGATTAATATAACATATGCATAAATAAATTTTTTTAGTTATTATCATTAATGTTTATTTTTATCTTATTAAAAATCTATATTGTTATAAGGGCATTATTAGAAAATAAGATTTCATTCTCACTTGTGAGCTAGTGATACTAAACATAGGAATGAGAATTAGATTTTCATTCTAGCTTCATTCTACAAACGCACCCAATCAAGAGAATGAGAATGATCATTCCATTCTCACATACATTCCATTTCATTCATTCTTTCATTCCATTCTCACTTGACTTCATCCCCACGTACCAAACGAGGCGTTAGTTTCTCATTATGGAACTGGAAGAGAGAAATAGATTTAAACTTTGAGGAAATTGGTTGTAACCGTAAAGTTTTAGGGGTTTTAACTATGTGGGTTATTTAGGCGGAAGAGTATTTCTATCTTTTAAAGTTAAAGTTAAATGTCTTTGAGCAAATTTACAGGACAAATAACTTGGGGGGTTTTTTTTTTTCGTTTTGAAACTTCAGGTATATACAAACGTCATCTCTATACAGTTCCTCTTTTTGCGGAGATTTATCCAACTTTGGATTAAGGGATCAGGTGACGACACCAAAACATGACATTGGTTAGGCTGTAACAAGATATATAGGGTTATCTTGTGATGTTTAGCTTATATTATGCCTTCACATTTGGTGGATTAAAAAGTTACAGAGGAGTATATTTGGGCTTTAATGTGATGTGATCCCTAAAGGCGACTTCCATAGGGCACATGTGATGGATCTGACGGTTGAGTCCATGCTTGGTCCAAGGAGTCATGTTCTCCGACAACTCATGTGGACATGACTCGGATTTTGACACGTGTTATTCAATGTTGCTG